CCATTTTCCACAGATATACATGCACCCTATTCACCTTTGTTAATTTTGAAGAAAGGAAATTCATGTTCAACAAATATCACATCTCGGGACTCAAACCTCGTCTCGGTATCCAAATCATACAAACTCCACCCTTTCTTTCCATAGGGATAACTGATAAAAACACACCTTCGACTGCGACTTGCGAATTTGTCTTTGTCACGATTAAGGCTCTTTGCATAACAAAGACAGCCAAACACACGTATGTGTTCAAGAGAAGGTGTTCGAACAAAGAGAAGCTCATATGGCGTTTTTCCCTTCAAAAGTAGAGTAGGTGTTATGTTGATCAAATAACCTGCAGTAAGTACACATTCACCCCAGAAAGTAACAGGTAAATGGGCTTGAAATCTCAATGCCCTTGCAACATTCAAGATATGACGATGTTTTTGTTCCACGCTTCCATTCTGTTGTGGTGTGTCTACCATAGAGGTCTCATGAATAATACCAAGTTCTTGTAAATGCCCAGACAAACAAGTAAATTCTTTGCCATTATCATTGCGCAATATCTTCACTGATTTGTTAAATTGTCTATTAGTCATGGCCAATAAATTTTTAAGGACACGTGAAACCTCATGTTTCTCCATCAATAAATATGTCCAAACGGCCCTAGATTAATCATCGAAAATCGTCAAAAAAATACTTAGAACCACAAAACAGAGATTCTCAATATGCACCCCACAAATCACAATGGATTAACTCAAAAAAATCAGATGCTTTATTATCACTTGAAACAAATGACGTACAATTTTGTTTTGCTTGCAAACACATCTCACAAGTCTCTACTTTATCCTTCCCAGACTGGATATTAATTTGAGAAAGCGAATCTACCACACACATAGAGGGATGTCCCAATCTTTTATGCCATAATGTTGCACTCCCAGTACCATCATTACCCCTATCAACTTTTTGTACATGTTTTGAGAAAACATTCTTCATAACATACATCATGTCTCTTCCTTCACCCACTCCAGTCAGCATCTTCGAAGTGCGGTCCTGTTACACATAACCGATCAGTAAATGTTAAAAAATACATTTTGTTATGTGTCATCTATAATATGGAGATCAAACTACAATGCAACTTTGGTAAAATAATACTCCTGTGAGTCTCAATCATCCAAACATGACTATTCCCGTTTTAGTAGCCATCAAATGGTCACTATTAGACATCCAAACAGGATATGGATCAATATCTATAAGTTCATAAAAAGGTTCAGTTGCACATGTCATATGGTGTGACGCCCCTATATCAAAAAGATAACTAAGATTTTCTTTACCAGATAACCGTGGAGATGATTTATGCAAGTTCCATAGAGACTTCAATGTCTCCCAATCCTCTGTACTCAAGTTCTTTAGTCCCACCTTATATGCATCTCCAAGAGGGCTTGTTGACGTCGTATGTTCAGCCGGATGAGCAGCATTCGCCTTTGTCGAGAGCCCAAAGACTCGCCCCCTTCCACGACATCGTCCTGTTTGTTGTCCAGATCCTCTCCCTTCAAGAAACCCGATAATACGATAACATGTTTCAATAGAGTAGCCTACCTTTTGCAATTTGAGCATGTGATTGCACCTTCTTTGTGATCCCTCTTTGAATTATGTGCACCTAAGATCGACGCCTTCACTGCAAGACTCACTGGATCAGTTCGTTCCTGCACTCCTTGCGTCATATTTATTACTTGTTCTTGCTGAGACACACGCAAGTACACCCGACTCATATTTGGAAGAGGGTTGGTTGCTATGATACTGGATCGGATGGCACTATAATAAGCATCATCCAATCCCATTAGGAATTGATGAACTCTTTCCTCTTCATTGCGTTTTGCTAATTTCACATTAAGACTACATTTGCACCCGTTACATGTGCAAGATGTCATCTGGTCATAATCTCTAAGATTATCCTAGATCTTTTTTATTCTTCCATAATAAATCATAACATAATCCCTGCTTGTTTGCAACTTGATACTTTTGCCTTCAACTGATGAATCCTCGTGTCATTGCGTACCGAGAACCTTTGATGTATATCATCCCACAATTCTTTCGCGGTTTCCCTTTTAGAAATTGTGGATCTCAAAGTTGGTTCGATCGTGTTAAATATCCATGAGACTATCATGGAGTTAACAATCCACTAGTCTTCAATCTCTTTTGAAGTACCAGCGGGTTGCTTGATTCCACCATTAATAAATCCCATCTTCTTCTTCACACGCAACGAAACCCTAATTGCCCTTGCCCATTCTTCAAAATTAGGGCCCTTCAATTATGTATGGGTTATCAATTTACCCGGATTGTCATTACTTGTGAGAGCATATGGAGAAAGAAATGAACTGGCAGAAGCTTTATCACCAGAGGAAGCTTTATCACCAGTCATGACAGATTCTTTGATAGAATCAATTTGGTATTGTGGCGCTCTGATACCATGTAAAAGAGAGCAATGAAATGAGAATGATCTCTGCTTTTCTCAATAACCCAATAATACATATATACATACAGGGGATGAAATCCAAATAAGGCTAGAGCATAAATTTTGCCTTGATTTACTGCTAAAATATGGTAAATACCTACTATAAAGACTTGTCTAGAATATACAGCTAAGAGAAACCGGAAACAAAAGATTTACACACCAAAAATCATGCCAATAGTTTTGAAATAAAATGTAGTTATATTTTAAGACAATTATATTATATAGTATTTTTTTTAAGCGGTGATGTTTGGAAGCTTGGTAATAATTTTTGAAACAAAAGGGATAATAAAAGTTTATATATATAATTCAGTTCAGATAAAAATTAAAAACTTGGCGAGAAAAATAAGAAGTCATCCATGAATGAAAAAAATCAATTAACTTTGGTTGTTAGAGGGTTAAAACTTGTTACAAAATTGCTGATTCCCTACAAACCACATTTATCATATGGTTTTTGATAAAGGGTCAAGATTACTTTTTT